ATTGAAAAATGATAATGAAACAGATTCATAAATCTGAGGCCCAGACCTAATGACGTTGTAGCGCCACTGATTTATTTATTGAATTACTAAAAGGCCGGCAACGCACTCGCGATTGATATCAGGTGAGCCTTCTGTCCGTTTGCCCCTGTTCTATAAAAAGAAAAAACAAATTACTAACGATTCGTAGACAAGGTTTTGCTTAAGGAATTTGTATATGTAGTTCTGTGAAATCTTCACCATTTATTTATTAGATTTCTTTTATTTAAATTGTGTTTTGTATCTACGTTTCGAGTGCTTTAATGCAGTCCTATACAAATTCAAAGTACTGAGTAAATATTTAAATAAAAAACAATATTAGGCTTAAATTTAAGATGCATTGAGTAAATATTTAAATAAAAAACAATATTAGGCTTAAATTTAAGGCAAGTTACTCTTTACTTAATTACATTTAATAGTAGAGGACCCTTGCTAAATAATACTTTCGAAATACCAAAGTGTTTGACGGCATGATAATTTGAAAAATGTAACAGTTTTAATAATTTTGCAAAAGGATATTGGAAGTGCATTTATAAGATGATTTTAGAATCGTTAAGGGAGCCAGCGAGTTGGCGATGTGCCAGTCTAACCGAAGATTCCTACAGTTTTGAATATTTCTGAAACTTGATAAAAGTCGTTATGAAATTTAACGTTACATCCTATGTAAGGGTTGTTTTAAGTATTATCGGAGGGAATTTTTGAATATTGATTCACTAGTAGATAATTTTGCTAATACCTAAAAAGTGTTATTGAATTTTATTGATATGCGATTGTAAAACTTTTCTTAAGAGCGCCCTTCCCCGTCCAACGAACGTCAACGCGAGCATGGTCAAAAAGCTTGTTGGTTCATCCAGCGCAATGTCAGCAAGTGAGAACGCGATAACATAGAAAGAAAAATAGTGTGCGGAAATTTCATAAAACTTGTTCCAAGAAATACGTGTTTTATCGTAAGCCTTACAAGATTATGAAAAACATGTTTTACATTTAGAAACTCCATTACATTTGCAAGGTTTCTATGCAAATATTTCTTTCCGGTTACAATTAATGAGTACATTATCAACGCCCAAACTTCATATAAAATTTGTGCAAAAAGGCTGATTTTTGGAGGTTTGTAGTGAAGTTGTTTCTTAAAATTTAGATTTCGCGTTTTAATAGAAACCTAGATATAGTGCACAAGGTGCCTATTAGTTCAAAAATTTCAAAGAAATTACTGTTACAACGCCATAATCACGTACGAGCGTTTGTATGAAAAGATAGACGGGATGGCCGCTCTTAATATTAGGTCCTTACATATGAAATTGGCGTTTTGTATGGGAGGAACAAAAAGTCGAATATTTTTAAATATAATATATTTAATTAATCAAAGTATGAACCATTGTTTTCTATGCACTTTTGCCATCTCATAGGTAGTTCAGTGATCCCTTTACTAAAAAAACCAGTCGGACGGGAATCAATAAAATCTGTGAAGGCGATTTGGAATGCCCCATCAGAGTTAAATTTTTTCCCTTGCAAGAAGTTGTCCAAATTTCGAAAAAAATGGTAATCTGTTGGAGCAAGGTACGGGGAGTACGGAGGATGACTTAAACAATCCAATTGAAGCTCTTCTAATTTGGTAGCCGTCTGTTGTGCAGTGTGTGGTCTAGCGTTGTCGTGAAGTAGCAGTGGCATGGAGCGGTTGACCAGCCTAGGTTGTTTAGCCGCTAGCTTTTCCATCATGGTTTGCAATTGCTGACAATAGACATCAGCCGTAATAGTCTGGCCAGATTTGAGAAAACTGCAATGAACAATACCGGCACTAGTCCACCAAACGCTTACAAGTAACTTTTTTGGGGTTAATTTTCGCTTGGGGCAGGATATGGCTGGCTGGCCAGGATCCAACCATAGCGCTGAGCGCTTTCGATTATCGTAAAGAATCCATTTTTCATCACAGGTAATGATTCTTGATTTTAAAATACCTTAATTATTGTGCCAGTTCAGTAATGTAACGCAGCAGTCGACGCGCGTTTGCCGGTTTGCTTCAGTCAATTCGTGAGGTACCCATCTTTCAAGCTTTTAAATCTTCCCAATTTGCTTCAAGTGAATTAAAACAGTTTTATCACTAACACCGCAGCCTGCAGCTAACTCGGACGTGGTTTGCGATGGATCCGCTTCCACAATAGCCTTCAATACTTCATTATCAACTTGGGTCTCAGGCCGTCCACGGGGCTTGTTCTGCAGGTCGAAATTTCCAGAACGAAAACGTTGGAACCAAAAACGAACTGTGTTTTCTTTTGCAACATGACCGCCATACACATGATTCACCCTTCGAGTCGTTTCCGCAGCACTAGTGCCACGGCGGAACTCGTACTCGTAAATAATGCGATACTTTAAGTTTTCCATTTTGTAAAATGAGTGACGCAAACATAAAAAAACAGAAGAAAAAAACAAATGAATGACGGTCATCGAAGCACAAATACATGAGTAAATAGCTGTACAAATTTGAATTTGGAATTCCTTACCAAAGAGGAGAACATCGTGATTAAAGTGGCCAGTACGAAATACGCCAATTTCATATGTAAGGACCTCATATTAAGAAATCATATAATAACATAAAAAGGATACAGGTGAACCCAAAGCTGGTGCTTTCCTCGCTCAACGAATTAGGAGGTACTGTACATATATCGAGGAAATACTGCCAACACTAAAGGTGGAACGCAGGAACTAAAAAACATTTTAGATTTATTTTAATTATTATTATGTCGGTAGGTTGTTAATACTCTAAATAATGATAACAATATCAGGAGAAATATAGTATTTTATACAATAAAAATGAATTGCTAAGTAGTAGAAGTAAAAAGTACTATGTCAGTAGAAGTGTGGTGGTTTAGGTTTGGTCTACTCGTATCTTCGTCATGGAAGGAACATCCAGGAAGATTTTCAAAAAAAGACAGGTCTTAATTTTGATTCTTTATGTTTGTAGGTAGCTGGTTGAAACCTGCATCGTTGTTGTTCTCTCAACGTAATAGAACCTAGTACTAACCAAGGCGGTGATGAGTTAAATATTTAATTATACTACATATTATCTTCGTATAAATTATTCACAAGCTAATTAGAAATTCGTTATTAATGAGAATCCTAATTATCTAATTATATTCTCAATGTAAATCTAAGTAATAGATTCCCGCAATTACAAGTACGCCTAACTCCTTGACTTGATTATGCAGGAGTGTAGCAAACTTCTTTAGTGGATTAGCGGATCTCGACAAAAATTAATTAGCATAGCGGAGGCGTCAGGTGAATACTTTGTGAGATAAAAAATTGGGTTTGGTCCTAGAGAGGTTAAAAAGCTAGGTAATAAACTAAAATCTCTCCCTGTTTACATGTTTTAATAAATATTAAAAAAAAATAAACAAATTAATTGTCTATATCACTATAAGTAAAGAAAGAAAGAAAAAACTTTATTACACATAATAAAAAAAGATGTTTAGTTAAAAGAGAAAGTGCACTGGCCTACTAGGATTCCCTGTGTCAGTTCAAGTGGAAGTTTAAAACACATTTTGGGTCGCACAGCCAGCATGAGAGGACGAGGAAGACCGAGAATAGCTTACGTAGACCAGATCAAGGAAAAAGCTGAGGTCGTGATATACCAGGTGGTCAAGACACTGTCGCAGAACCGCACTGAGAGGCGGTTAATCCACAAACAAGAACCCGACTTTTAAATTTGAAGAAGAACCGCCATAGTGTTCACTTTAACTAACACTAAATTAGTTCACCATAGATTCACTAATATATAATCTGGAACTGTTTCGGAAAAACACCTTTTGTATGGCAATTAAACTTTACAATAAATTACTAAAAGAATTAAAAGATCTTCCATCTTGAGTCTTTAAAAAGCGACTTAGTGTATTACTTTCAGAAAAAAATTACTATTCAATAAATTATTATTTGCGTGAAACACCGTAATTAATATAAAAATAATGATGTAATGTATATAGTATAATAGACTAGATAATATAAGAATTGACTTTGAATAATAATGTAAAATTCCTTAAGACAATTTTGCGCGCTCTTGTGTATGGCAGAATATGCGAACGATTTACAATTGTATCACCTTAACATTTTGTACCATATTCTTGCAATAAATTAATTATTATTAAGAAATGAACATACTCCTATAGCATTATTGTAATTATTGTATGATTTTTCGTATTCTTTATCGATGTTTCGCACAATAATTTGCATAAAACCATTTCATATGGGAGTTAGCGTAGACTGTGTTAATGAGCCTGGCAGAATATTGCAGGCCGTTCCTGAATGGCATATTTAAGTGTATAAAATGTCTTCATACTGGGTTCATTCTATTTCGCTTTTACCTATATTTTTGTACTTAAAATATTACAATTACCATTTATATTTCGCAGATGTTATTTTATGATTATTATTATTAGAGCTTTATTAATGATTCCATACAAAAATTGGATAATTAACATTTCCTAATATGAGTATCAGTTTTGTTAGTATAAGTTTTTTTTAAGGTATTGTATGGCCCCTTTTAGAGTAAACCCCTCTTCCATATTTTTCCATTTCTATTTTTATTGTCTGATTTTCCTCAATGCATTGTTCAGATCTAATTGTCCTGTTTTGGATGATAGGGATCTTATGATGAATTGCATAATTTTAATTATATGACTTGGAGTGCCTTTATTGTTTTTATTATTGTCTGTTCTTCGTTTTTATGCAATAGTGGTCGCTTTATATAGTTATAGCGGTATTTTATGATTAAATAAATTTTAAAAATAGCCTTTATTCGAGTTGCGGGTTTAAAGTACGAACAAAAATAATAAATAATTTCCATATTGCGTGTTGATAGCAATTTTTAAAGTAATTTAAAAAATACCAAAATATGTTTAGGTCTTTATTGTATACATATTTTATATAAAATAAAATAAATATACTTTCGACTTGTAGCTCCAACTAGAGTAAAGTTAGCCCCATGGAGGTGATAGTTTGCCCCAACCACCCTGCCTGCCCGAAACAATTCCACCGAGTACGTCAAGGGTCTGCTTCATATCGCTGCTGTCGCGGTAGCTGTCAAAAAGATTCTTGTAATTGCCCTTGAATCCTTGATTGGAATCTGAAAATTATTATTTATTTTATGTATTTTGAAATATTAATATGCACTGTTCTTGAAAACTGTAGTTCGTCTATATGTTTTCTCTATAATATACTGTATGTTATGTTGTAACCTAAAAACAAGTATAAGTCAAGCCTTTGTTTTAAGGTCTGCCATGCGATTCTGTAACTCACTTCTCGAACTCACACAGCGGTTTTCACAGCGGCGGTCTCACTCAAATCAGTCGTAAAGCAGTCATTTTACGACTGACGATTTGGCACTCTGATAAGGAGGGAGTTTGTAGTTTATTGTTTATCAGAATGCCAAATTGTAAAATGATTGCTTTACGACTGATTTGAGCGCGACCGCCGCTGTAAAAGCCCCTGTGTGAGTTCGAAAAGTGAGTTACAGAATCGCAAGGCAGTTGTATAAAAGAAAGTATAACCATGTGAATCTGTATGCTGCATAGTCATAGGTATAATCATATTATAACGGGGTGCCTGAAAGATCGCTTATTTATGGTAGATCGCAATTTTATCCATGCAGTGTAAATAAAATATTTTACTTAGACCATGCAATACAATTTTCGAGTAAATGGTTAGAGATGTACTAAAAAGAAAAAAAAAACAAAGTATTGCTAAAACAAACAAATAATAATAATTTTTTACTTTTCTTGCAAAAAGTATTTTTACTAAGACGTGAGAATAATAATGATCTTAAAAATTTTAATCGTTTGGTAAAATAAATGCCGTAGGAGTGTCAAATTATTAATTTAATATTGATTGTCTTCGAGCTAAAAGTTTACAGTGATAATAAAATACTTTTGATAATAATAATAATGATCAGTGTTGGCCTAGTGGCTTCAGCGTGCAAATCTATTTCCTGAGGCAGTATCTCCGGCTGTGCACCAATGGATTTTCTTTCTATGTGCGCATTTAATATTTGATGGAACGGTAAAGGAAAACATCGTGACGAAAACCGGCGTGCCTTAGACCCAAAAAGTCGACGGCCTGTGTTAGGCAAAGGAGGCTGACCATCTACATTACCTATCAGATTGATAAATGATCATGAAACAGATACAGAAATCTGAGGCACAGACCTAAAAAAAATGTAGCAGCACTGATTTAAATAAAAATATAATAATGACTATGGAATCACTTTTACTATCGACTATTGAATAATCGTTAATTTGTAGAGCTAGTAATATTGGTTTTTAAACTGATTTGACTTTGACGTTGTTATAAGCTCTGTGACATAATGACAATGACAGCTGACAGTAACGCCATTGCTCCGACATATAATATGTGTATAAATAGTGTGTGCAGAGTTGTTGGTACTTACTTGCAATTTCTAGCAGATCCCTAAGTGACATAAACTTTCCTTTGTTGATTATGAAACCGTCTAAGCCTGTATCCAATCTACCATATTTGCCCTTTGGGGGGAAGTTGAGGCATATCAGATCACGTCCTATTCCATATTTCAAACTTTTCGTGCTCACTTTCCCTTCACCTTGTCTTGATGGGTCAATTTCAAACTCCGCGTCTTGGTCATCGACTTGTAAGCAATTTGGGCCGCAGCGAAGTGGGTTGTGGAGGTCGCACATTGGGCAACCATCGTCTGGGGCACTTAAAATTGCTGGTAAAAGCTGTAAAAAAATACATTTATATATCATATCAATCTTAAGCCTGAATGTTGTGCACGATGAAATTGTTATTTGTTTCGTTATCTAATAAACAGTGTGATGCAACTGCGGTGGGGGGAGGTCACTGACCACACCACTCGCGGCACGTCACTGCTTCTGTAGCTGCACACTTTTACGAAAATATTCTTTTATTTCTTCGCTTCGTCATCAGCAATGTGATGTTGATATTCAAAGATGAAATAAAAATCTCTGTATACATGAAATGCTTGGCCCACGACTTATTATTTAATGGTTCCGCCATACGGTCTTATAACTAAACTAAAGTAGGGGTTTTATTAGTTACCATTTTAATATTTAAGAACCTAACTTGTGCAGTTTCTATAATTTTTTTTAATACTAAATTTTTTATAAATAATGCTAATAATGGTCGATTGTTATGACGGCTGAATCACAAATACATTTTGAAAAATTTACAGAAATTACAAAAACGATCCAAATCGGCCATTTTACTAGTATAGTACTACATAGTAGTAACGTTTTCTGTATGACTTGCCGCGAGTTCTAGATCTGTTGGAACTTGGAAGGTATAACATTCTTACCGAAATCAGGCAAGTGAGCACGGCGATCTGCATGGCGAACAATGGCTCTCTTCCAAAACCTCTTTCCAGATATTGCTTTTATACTAAACGTTGGATGCAGTGTATCAAATTGTACAAATTTTCAATAAATGTTATTGATTAGAAATTACCTGAAACAATATTAGCGACTCATTATTTTTTACATTATTGTACAATGTATAAATTATTGGTCGTTAATGGGAATCTAAATCATTACATTACATCAATAATTTAGTTTAGCTATAGTATGTAGTCATATTTTTGTATATTTCTGTCCGCGATGGCAGGCTGGTTACCTGTTACCACAGGACTTCTATAGTCGTAGAGGCACCAGCTTCGCCCAAAGATGGTCAATACAGCATGTAAAATTTTGAATAGGCAAATAAACTTTATTAATATTACTATTTTAAAGTTAGAGCAGTGTTGGCCTAATGGCTTCAGCGTGCGACTCTCATACCTGAGGTCGTAGGTTCGATCCCCGGCTGTGCACCAATGGATTTTCTTTTTATATGCGCATTAAACATTTGCACGAACGTTGAAGGAAAACATCGTAAGGAAACCGACATGTCTTAGCCACAAAAAGTCGACGGCGTGTGCCAGGCATAGGAGGCTGATCACCTACGTGCCTATTAGATTTTAAAATGATCATGTAACAGATTTCAAAAAATTTAATTATAATAAATTGATAGCTATTACTAAAGTCAATAGAGCTAAAACTATTCGTATTTGAATGAGCGCCATCCCAATTAAACTTATAATTATTTCAGATCGTTGTGCTAATTGCAATTATTAAGCTTTATATAATTAACTTGAGTATCTAGACATAATTAAAATGTGATACAATAATAGGCCGTAAATTGTGTATTTAATTTTTGTATGGCAATTATGTTATTTAAATATTTGAAATTGAAATTTGTAATCCTGACTGATATGCCTTATAATAAATAAAGTTTTATTATAACGCATTATCTAGTTAAATAAAGTTTATTTAAATATCACAAAAATATTATTTCTACATAATTAACAAATGGACATTTTTTATTTTAAAATATTTACTATGCTAACTTCAGGGTGTCGGTTTTTTGTTACGGTATGCGATTGTCGGTTTGTTGTGACGGTGTGCGCGCGCATCGTAAAAATTTACTCTCATCATTTATCCCTAACGCGCCGAAAGAAGTATAACTTCAAAAGCGTTAAGTCGATTTTGAATATTTAATGACACATGTGCGGCTACAAGTGTTGCAAATGCGTTTATATTTCGTACACACACTTCCTACTATGGCTATTTTCCTTCGTAGTTTAGTCACATTTAAAATCGTTCTTTGCTAATCATTAAGAATTATTAGCAAAAATCTAAAAAACCCTGACAAGATACTATCAAAATATATGAGTCACTGGTACCTTTATTTACTCAGACAGAATGAATGGCTTATGGAATATAACTCTAAAATTATAAGCAATTCGGTATTTATTTATTTTAACCTTATTTTCTACTGTTACATCAATAGTACCCATGGTACCATTGTTTGTCTAGTAAAGGTAAATAATTCTGACAGGTATTTGAAGTCGGTTTAATTTATTATGATATTTTTATCACGAAATAAAGTATACAGGATGTATATGATGTACGGATGTAGATTTTTTCGAATTTTTATAAGAATTTGTAAAAAAAAGTCAATTTTCTTATAAAACGCAAAATAAATTATAACTCTTCAGGGGTTGAGCTTAGAGACCACCCGTAGAACAATTTTTTGCAGCTGATGACCTCATCTATCCCCTATTTGCGTTTGATCCACGACTTTTTGCCCACCCTGTATAGGGTGAAAATAAACTATAAGTGATAAGGGGTGTCCACCCCAAAATTTATTTTTTAGACAATTTTTTTTATGATACAGCATACAAAAATACATACAACCATTAATTTTCATCTACCCTCTACAATCAACCCCTATTTTTTATTTGGTAGTTAAGAACTTATAACTTGAACTTGAACTCTGAGGTTTATATAGAGAAAAATCACAGAAAAACTGAAACGTTTCATTCCGGAAAACCGAACAGTCTCTGGGGTAGCGTGGCAAAATGTTCCATGTTGGTATGTACTAAAAAGGTAGGCTAGGCATTAAGGAGAAACGAAGTTCGCGGGGGCAGCTAGTATAAATATAAATTTTTCTTTCATCATTTATTTTTCACTTTAGTTCATCACTATGCGCTATTATCAATAGTTTCCACAGCGATATAGGGATGTTTATTGGTATGTTTTCACAACTTGGGCTGTTATCGGGCAAAATGTAGGATTATAGTTGTTTGTTACAGTTTTGGAAGGTCAATGCAAACAAACAATCAACCTTTCCTCTTTATATGATTAGTGTAGATAACTTGGCAAACTGTTTGATAATCAGCCCCGAGGTCGTCAATATACTTCGCGCAAACTATGAGTGCCATATGCCAAAATCATATTTTTTACTACGGGCCTCGTAATGTCTAACTCCCGAATATGAAAGGCTAGATGTATATTTTCTCTTTCTCTCTTTAAGTTTACACACATATACCACTAAACATACACTACTTCAATGACAAGAAGATAAAACTTGTGTATCCAATAGTTCATTTAATGGCACTTCTCATTATTATTGATAAACAGTTCAACATCTGTCATATCTGTTGTGATTGAGGCGAAGAAATATGGTGTATCTAGGATTGTACAGGAAGTTATAGTTTAAATTTTTCGTCAGTTTCCCTTGCCTTAATGGATTAACTTTGAAGCTGTAGCTAAGCTGATTTCTTTAGCTAAGTACAAAGTATGGACACCGTCACATAATGCCGGTAATAGCTGATAATCAAAACAAAACTTACGACAAATGAGAATAAATATATATAATTTAAGTCCTTGTGGGGCTGTTGGAGTACTGTGGAGTACCTCTGGGCAGGGGCTCCTCAATACCAGTTACCTTATCCAACGCAGATCGGGTCGAAACATCGATCTGTGGCTAAATTTTATCATCGGACGTCAAGACAGACAGTAATACTACCGTGACGCCTGGCGTTTACTTTATGAAGCCGGCTGCCATTGCAGGTATTTCTGAGGTTTTTGGAGGTTTTTTGATAAACTGCTGATATTTAATAGGAAGAGTATTCTTCTTATAAATGAAATCACCTTACGTTTTAATAAAGGTATGTCATCTTTCTCTCTAACGTACTATGTTTTTGGATTGCTAAAACAAGACAGATAATCAAGTCAAAATCAACGAAAATAGGTAAAATAAAATTATAACAAGAGCTAACGATTTTTTCATGTAACTGTTTAAGAAATTAAATTGCTATGCGTGTATCGAATTATAGAAAACGTAAAAAATAATTTCAAATTAAGAATTATTACGCTTCATTAGGTCGGCATGACTTCATTATTATTAACACTATGTATGTAACGCATAAAAATGTATTTTTCGATATAAATGAAACTTTTTAAAGTATTTAAATTATTTTCACATTATTTTCTTTAATTCATTTTGCAGAATCAACCAAAATTAGCTTCTAAAACTTTTAATTCAAAGAAGTCCCCTCTAAAGAGGCCAGACAAAGTGTGACTACAAAAAACACATAAATAAAATAATAATAAAAATTAAAGTATGCCAAACTATGCTTTGACAGCTAGATTTAAGTTTGGTTGTCATTAGTACATACAAAGAGAATATTATTTCTCAAGTACTCTGTCTAGGCTTTATAAAAAAATGTTTTGACAAATCCCTTTAATTTCACGGCCCTTGTTATCGTATAAAAATCCAAGTTTACATTTGACCGAGTCCGTTGTGCACAAATCTTTGGCACTTGAAAATTTTTATTTCGCCAAAATTCCCGTAGTCCATTTTTTCCCGCGCTAAATGTAAATTAAATGATGAATAGATGTGCGCGCCAGTGCGTTTTGCGGTAAAGCTAAAACCAACCGTTCGACCATTAATTCGTGATATTTTTTCGCTTTGTTATCCTTGTTTTTCCGATATCAACACTTCTTTTTTGAACTCGTGCTTTTGTTTTGTCTGTGGTTCTGAATTCTAGAATTATGATTTATAATATCGCGCTTGTTTACAGTAAGGCTGTCACGTACTTTCCAAGAGTTATCGTACCATGTTACTTCAATATTATTAATATTGTGAGAACCATATCAGTTCATTGTGGGCTTGGTGGTCTTGAGCGTGAGAGAGAAACATATACGAACATCGACATGGGACCTATATATTATATGTCTTAGAAAAGCAAAGGCGTGTGTCAAGAACAGAAGATCACCCTTTGCCTATTAAGAAAATTATTGATCACAAAAGAGATGTCTGCCACCAAGGCCTAGGGGTTGTGGCTTCTTCTACTTTTAGTGTCTCCATTACTGGAGGTTGGCCGTCAGTCTCTTGAAGCGTGTCTTGTCCTATGCCAGATACAGTAACTCTTCCGCATTCGCAATACCCATCCAGTCAAAGACGCCGTTTACCCTGGATTTTACCCATCATAATTAATTGAAGGAGGTGGTAGCGCACCCAGGTGGTAGTGGTCATGGCGCAATTCCGTTGTTTAAGGGATTGTGACAACACTGTTTTTATATCAATATTAAGTTCCGGCCTTATTAAGAAAATTATTACGTCAATAATTAGAAAATAGGGGTTGGGTTGACGCATTTCCGGCAGCTAAAATCACTTGGAGGTGTTCCAATGAAGGTCCCCCAAGACTCCTGCATAATCAGTATCATCAGATTCGGGTGCATCGTTATCGCACCATAACCGAAAATAGTTTTAGAGACAAAGGGCAGATTATAAATTAATGCAAAAGTATAAGCATCCGTTTCGCCGAAGTTTTTTGGTATCGACTCTAATGTATTACAGCGTACGGCGATGGCGTGATATATTTTCTTTTTATATTTTTAATATAATTATTTTTTTCTCATGTAAGTGACGTATGTTTTTAATGAGAATAAACGTTTTTTTTGTATGGCCATGTAAATTGGTTATGTGTGAAAATATAGCAGTCTTAGA